TGCTGGTACTGTTGGGTATGTCGGTGAGTGGGCCCAGAGTGGTGGTCTCCAGAGACCTGGCTCTCATCCACTCCCCTCCTGGACAGCAAACGCGGTGGGGGCCCGGCCCTCGGTCAGGTGCGCTGGAGGGGCACAAAGAGCAAACACGACCATGTCTTGCTTCCAGTTGGCTGGCCCAGAAGGGGAAGTGGGCTCAGAAGCAAATCATCATCTCCCATTACGTGTATAAGAGGGGCGAGCGCTGGCCGCTGGCCGTGTGGGTCTTCCCTAAGCCTTCGTTCTTAGTGCCCAGGAAGCCAACCCAAATGGCCCGAAACCTCCCTTCCTGCCAGGCCTCCAGCTGTCTTCTTTCCCTGTTGCCCTGTGCCCTGCCCACTCTGGGGCTCCGTGTTCAGTTAGTTGTGTTGTGGTCGCGTGATACTGGAGAAGGCGCTGGTCAGAGGGTCTTGCAGACAAGTACCTCCAGTGCTCACAGCTCTGAGAGGGAAGTGGCCTTCACTGCTTTCAGCAGACCTGGAGGTCCCACTGTGCGCCAGACTTTTTTAGGTCCTGAGGACATGCCCAAATCCCTTCTCTACGGGACTGTCATTCAGGTGGGGACAGGCGTACCACAAACCCTGAGCACAGCAAGTGCATCAGTGTGTTAAAGGGTGACGTGTGTGATGGAGGGAAAGAACCACATGAGGGAGGTGGGGCCTGGTGCATTGGTAGGTTGTGGCAACTTGGAATGAGGAGGCGATGCTGAAATTGGCCCTTCTGTACAATCCGTCATGAAAACATACACCCAGCTAGTGTGGCTGCCTTACTTCCTTGACGAGCAGCAGGACCCTCCCTCAGAGATTTCCTGTCATACCCCCCTTTGTGCCTGTGAGCCAGTAGAGACTAATGGTTCTTTTCACATGTATTTTCAAATTCTTATCTTTGTTCACATTCGCCCTTGTTTACCATAACTCCTCTTGTTTCAAAGTATACATTTGAATTTCTTTTCAAATGCATAAATTAGCCTTTTGAAGTTTCTTTACTTGTGAGTTTAGAACCTCCCCCTCCTATAGATCCCAAAACAGTTTCTAGAAAGGCGCTCACGTAGGTGTGGGGGGTGGGATAGGAATCCTGGGTTGTACTCATGTGCAAAAGAGAACCTGTAAAATTGGTGTGCTAAGAGCTGAAGTGTGATAGCATCAGTTTCTGGCTGATATTGATATTTACTCCCTTTCATTTTTCTCTATAAACAGACTTTGAATGGGATCATCAAAATTTCCTATTCCAGGCATTTTTTTCTACAACAGCTGAGAAGGTGACATTTAAGCAAATACCTGAGACCTAACAAGAAGCAGCCGCATGGTAGTAGAGGGATGTGTTCCAGGGCCTGGAAGAGCGGGAAGAGCCCGGCCTGGGCTCTAGCTCAGAATGTGCAGTGGGTGGGCCCAGCAGGGAGCCAGTCAGTTGCCTCCATGAATAGCACCCACATGAATGAATTGCTGAGATGTTTCCCTGAAGTCATGGAAGCAGAGATGGAAGAGGAGGCATAGTCAAGGAAGGCCTCCTGGAGGAGGTGGCACTTGTGTTCAACCTTGCAGGTTGAGAAGTGACTGAGGGAGTTGGGGCATAGGTTTGGGAAGTGCCCAGAGTGTCCAGGCACTAGTAAGTGATAGTTTGGCAGAGAATGGCCAAATGGATAGGAAAGAAGGGAACTGGAATTGGTCAGGAAAGAAGCAAAAGTTTAGAAGCCGACTGAATTTGGATTTTGTTCTATAGGCAGCGGGGAGCCAAGGAAGCCTTCTCAGTAGACTCAGACCGGGCCTCCCGCTCTCCCGCTTACCACCCCCCCACCATCCAGCTTGGCTTCTTGGGCAAGCTGTCCCCACCTCATGGTACGGACTCCTGCCCACCAAGCCCGGGTTGTGCAGGGCACCTCCTCGCGCCCTCTGCGGGGTTTGCCTCCACAAGAGTGACATCATCGTCCCCTGCTTCCGAGAGGGTGCAGTGGCAGAAATGGAAGAGATGATGCAGTAGACAGGGAAGGGTCCCTGAAATCTCTCAACATTAGTAAGGGCCAAAGATAGATTCAGTGTTGGTAAAGCGTAATCACAAATATGCCAAAAGCTACATAATACTGTCATGGGTAGGAACAGTGGGAGGCAGCATTTGTTTCCACATAAGCAAGAACTTAGTGAATGAACTTGGGAAGTGGTGAAGTCCCCACCCCTGGACATACTCAGCCAGGGACCAGCTGACCACCTCAAGGAAACCTTGGAGGGGGTGGAAGATGAGCAAGACCCCGTCCAGGCCTAATATGTTCTATAAACATACATATTAGAAAACTGCTGTCATTTAAACACATCTGCAAGCAATTTGCTGTGTCAGTTAAGACATTTCTACAAATTAAAAACTGAAAGAGTGAGGGCTCAATACCCTTGCAGTCATGTCGGCTGCCTCAGCACTAAGCACAGCAGGAGCTCTGCTGGGGCGGCTCCCACATCCCGGCATGGCACAGCTCTGGACAGTTTCTAGGGCAGGTTCATATCCGCTGGCCCCTTGAGACTCACAGCACTGGGGGATAGGGTTATTACACCCCGTTTTACATGTGACACTCCGAGAAGTAAAAAGTGACCGGCCAGAGGTCACCACTGTGGAACAAAACTGCAGTTTTCTGGCTGGTGCAGACCTTGACACAGAGTGGGCATTTGATAAAAGCCAGTTTTTACCCTTTATAGTGCAGCTGGGTCTCTGCTGCTCTCAAATCTCCTTCTGGGTGTAAGACCTCAGAGCCCAAGGAAGATAAGCCAAAGCTAGACTCAGGACCCACAGAGTAACTAGGCAAAAAAGCAGAGCATTACAGGCCCACTGAGAGGGGCTAGAGTGAGCAGGTGCTGGCCAGAGACTGGCTACGTTTGCCAAAACAGTACGGCCTGGTGGGCGTGAGCAGACACCAGCTCCGCCGTTAGCTGTGTGGCTCGGGCAAGTCACTCCACGTGTGTTTCAGTTTTGCAATATGTGACATTGGGATGACTTTCTACCTGCTGGGGATGATGTGGGGGTCAAGCAAATTAATAGGTGTAGAGCATTAGAACAGTGCCTGACAGTGAGCGAGGGCTGTTATTACTTGGCTCCTGCGGCTCTGGGTCTAGGAACAAGTCTTGATTTGCAGGAATGAACATAGTCCCAGTCAAGTGCACCCTTCTTCCCCTGCCAGGAGTGCCCTCTGCCTGCACTCAGTCCTGGGCCATCCCCAGAGAACCAACTTCCCTTCTTTTAGGGTTCCTGGAGCACAGTGCTCAGACATCTACCCAAGCCAGAGTTTAAAGCGATTTGGTTAGAGGTAAAGGCACTTTTCAGGTTCCTTCTGCCTTTCTGTGTGTACTACAACGCCGTATCTGAAAGTGCCATTTTTACATCAAAAAATATTAGAAATTGGCAGTTTTTTATGGTTCAAACCAGGGGTGTCCAATTTTTTTGCGTCTCTGGGCCACACTGGAAGAAGAGTTGTCTTGGGCCACACATTAAATACACAAACACCAATGAAAACCGATGAGCAAAGGAAAGATCCATGCACAATTTTTGTGATATCTGCCACCACAGGTAAGCAAAAAAGCCCTCACCTAATAACTATGCAGCAGACGTTTCAATAACCTTTTAAAATTGTTCCAAGTTTGCGATCACCAGTATGGAAAATGTACATATCTAAATAATAAAACTTAATAATAAAACTGAGGAATGCTTTAAGGAAGTTTATGATTGTGTATTGAGTTGCATTCATAGCCATCCTGGGCTGCATGTGGCCCTCATGCCCGGGCTGGACACACCTGGTTCAAACTAATGCACTGAGAGTCTGTTTAAACCATGAGGAAGATTCAGCTTTGCCTTTTCTTCACCCTACCACTGCCCTAACCCCCAACTGTCAACCACCTAACAGGATACTTTTAATACGGTGTCACTTAAAAACTGTGTAAGGAATTTGACAAGTCAGGATGCTGAACCTTTAGAACTGGGGCACAGGCCCTGAAAAAAGGCCTTTCCCTTCCTGCTATAGAGCTGGCTGGCATCCCTGTGAGGTCCTGTTGGTTTGGCCATCTCTGTCACTGTCACTTCTTTCTGGAAAATGGGGCTCTATGGGTTTCCTTGGCAACATCAGGATCTGAGGGATCTGAGGAGCATGGAGTGATTGGGCTCCTCTTGCTTTGGATTCTAAGGAGGGAAAACTGCCATGGTTGCTTAGCAACTGCTAACATCCCTGCTAACAATTCCAAATCTCAGGGGATTCTTCCCAACATCCCCTGAGAAACAAGCACTAAAACCTCCTAGGCTAAAGACAGGGCCTGAAGGACTGATCTGTGAGGCTCTCCCAGCTCAGTGATAGCCAGCTGTGACTCAGTGATAGCCAGCTGCTGGCTGTTCACTGCCTGGGCAGGCAGGGGCTTACTGAATTATCAGGGCGGGGAAAGTATAGGACATAGCTACCCATAGAAAGCTTCCAATCTAGTCGGAAGGATGGGTCCCAGGTTTGTAGGCATGATAGTGAGAGATTCTTGTGGCTCGGGGAGACTTTCTTGGGGCAGTTAAACCTGGGGAAGACTGAGGCAGGCAAAGAAAGGGCTTTCCTGCATAAACGTGCACAGACAGGGCCAGGGGAGAGGATAGTTGCAAAGGCTCAGAGGTCAACTATGTGACACAGTTCTGAAGGTGGTTCTCAGAAAAGAGCTATAGAAGCTAGTTGAGAAGTGGCTTACGGGCAGATTAGGAAAACCTTGGATGCTAAGGTTAGGTGAAGTGCTTTTTCCCCATTGTCCTGGAAACCTTTTCATAGTTGAGAGGTTCAGTGTGGTTTTTCGCAGATCACTGCAGCTATAGGTGGAGGAGGATGGGAGAGGGTTCAGGCGAGGTGCTATTAAGAGGCTCTTGATGCTACTCTGAAGGGAGGAAAAATAGACAAGTCCAAGTACAGTAGAGAGGAGAAGGCAGATCCGAGGAACATTGGATAGATTGAGTCAGGACTGGGGGACTCATTTATACACGTATTTATTGTGCACCTACTATGTGCCAGGTGTTTCTGGCTTCTGTATGAGAGAAGTTTGAGGCTAAGGATGATGTATTGTGTCAGAATGCTTAGGGCTCACCTGCAAGTGTGTCCTTTCAGGAACCTGGACTAAAAGCAGTGTAGCGTTAAGTGCAGTGGCAGTGGCGGGGAGGTCTGAGAGAGCAGCAGCAGAGGACCTGAGTTTAAGGCATATTCGAAACCTAAGAGAGAACTGTTAAAGCACATGGCATGGCTGGTCGGGGAGACAATAGGTGTGCTTATAGAGTAGGCAGCGAACCACCCACGATTCGGTCGGTGTGACCAGAGTCCTGGAAAGCCTAAGGCGATCACTACAATCGCAGCCCCTAGGGCAGCCTGGCGATGCTCAAGGTCCCTTCCCAGAGCCTCAGGGCAGGGTAGAGCGGCTCCTGGAAAGAGGCGCGGAAGGTGTGGAGGTGGCGCATGCCGCCTGACACGTCGTAGAAGGCGAGGATGCCGGCTTCGTAATCTAGGAAGATGCCCAGCCGATCGGGGTCGTGGTGGGGCCGCAGACGGCTGCGATGGCTGTCGTGGAAGGCCCAATACTCCAGGTCGTAGCGCTTAAGGCACCAGGACTGGCGGTTGCAGCCCAGGCGGGCCGCAGCGGAGGCCCCGCGGCGTCGCAGGGAGGCGTAGGCCGCGCCCACCCACCAGCCACAGCCTGCCTCCTGCACGTCCACTTCCCAATAGTGGCGGCCCGCTGCAAAGCAGTCGCGGCCCAGCACCTGCCACAGCTCATCAAAACGCAGCGAGGACGCAGAGCCCCGGCGACAGAAGAGGGCGCTTCTCACCGACAGTAGGTCCTCTGAGAGGCGCAGGCGCCCGTGCATCGTGTCGGGCTCCAGCGTGGGCGTGCGCGCAACTGCGGGGAAACAGAAATACAGCGGCAGACCTGGTGGGCGGGGCCAACGCTGCGCCCCGCCCCTGGCAACCCTAATTGGTTTGCGCCCATAGATTCACACGTGCTTACAACAGAAAAAAAAAAATGAGAAAACCCGGAAATCGCCCACCGAGAAATGGAAAGCCACCCTTTTAACCCTGATTGCCTCTGGGGAGGTGGCTGCGGGAACGTGGGAAGAGAGCAAATTTTACTGTATGCCATAGGAATTTTGTACCATAGGAATTGTACCATAGGAATTTTGAACTGTGGAATTTGTTTCCAATTTCTAAAAATTTAACCAAAAAATAATCCCATCACTGGTAACACGAGTATATTCTTTTTATGTTTTTGCTTTCCACTTCATAGCTTTCCTTAACATCGGTATCATACCATACATGCTCTTGACAATTTTTTAATGTATTGTGTTTATATACCACATCAAATAATATTCTTTTGTAAGAGCATTTTAATGATGAACCTAAGTTTTTGTGTATGGTTGCATTATAATTAATCCTAAACCCCCCTTTACTATTTAGGCTTTCCAAAAAGTTTTTGAAAACACTATTACATCTTTGTGTATCTGATTATTTCTTTAGTATATATTCCAAAAAGAGGAGTTGCTGGGTCAATGGGGATGATTGTTTTTAAGGCCTTTGGTCGATACTGCCTATTTGTTCTCCAGAAAAGTGGTAGGTTGAAACTCCCAATAATAGTTCTCACTGCATTATACTACATATGTTGACATAAAGTTAGAAAACCAGTATCACAGATTGTAGGGTATGTGGATTATAGGATATATAGCTTTGCTGGGTAGAGCAATCTTGGCTTTGGGTCTCTGCTTTTCAGGACTTTGAGTATGTCTTGCTAATCCCTTTTAGCCTGTAAAGTTTCTTTTGAGAAATCAGCTGACAATCTTATGGGAACTCCCCTGAGGTAATGAACTTTTCTCTTGCTGCTTTTAAGGTCCTCTCTTCCTCTTTAACGTTTGCCGTTTTAATTATGATGTGTCTTGGAGTGGGCCTCTTTGCATCTGTCTTGTTTGAGACTCTCTGTGCTTCCTGGACTTACATGTCTATTTCCTTCATCAAATGAGAGTTTTCTTTCATTATTTTTTCAAATAGTTTCCCAATTTCTTGCTCTTTATCTCCTCCTTCTGGTACCCCTATGATGCAAATGTTGAGCTTCTTGAAGCTGTCCCAGAGGCTGCTTATACTATTCTCATTTTGGGGGATTCCTTTTTGTCTTGTTGTTTTTCGTGGTGGTTTTTTGCTTCCATATGTTCCTTATGATTCTTGGCTTCCTCCACTCTACTGTTGTTTCCCTGTAAATTGTTCTTTATTTCAATTAGTATGTCTTTTGTTTCTGAATGGATCTTTTTTATGCTGTTGAGATCCTCACTAAGTCCCTTGAACATCCTTATAACCAGTGTTTTGAATTCTGCATCTCATAGATTGCTTATCTCCATTTCGTTCAGCTCTTTTCCTGCAGTTTTGAGCTATTGTTTCATTTGGGCCATGTTTCTTTGTTTCCTCATTTTAGCAGCCTCCCTATGTTTGTTTCTATGTATTAGGTAAAGCTGCTTTGACTCTCTGTCTTGGTAGTGTGGCCTAATGCAGTAGGTGTCCTGTAGAGTCCAGTGGCACAGCCTCCCCCATCACCCAAGCTGGGTACTTGAGGTGTGCTCTTCAGGTGGTCTGAATATACCCTCCTCTTGTAGTTGAGCCTTGGTTGCTGTTGGCAGATCCGATGGGAGGGATTTACCCAGGCCGGTCAACTGCAAAGATTGGCTGTGACCACTTACCACTGACTTCCACCCTCCTTGGAGGATCAACTGTGCAGGGGCAGGGTGGTGGTGCTCCGATGTGCTCTGTAGCTGGGTTTTCCCAGGTGGTATAGGCCAAGGTTGGTCCGCACCTATGTTTTGCCCAGGGCCACCCTGCCTGAGTTATAAAGCAGTCTGAGATGGCTGCTACTTTTTCTGGGTGTGGAGATTTCCAGGGGAATCCAGGTCGGTGGCTCTTGAGTCTAGCTGTTGCTTAAGAGGATTTGGGAAGCTGTGAAGCCTGAGCCAAGATCAGCCATTCATAAGGAAAAGCAGCTTGGGTGGGGCAGAGTCTCTGGGGATCTCCAGGGTGGGGCAGTCTTAGCCAGGTTGATAGAATCTCAGATATGCCAGCAGCTTGCTGGCTCTGTGGCTCTGTGGGGGAAGGATTTAGAAAAGGGACAATGGTCTCTGCTTGCCTTGATGTCAGACACTTCGGCTTCTCCCAGTATGCCACTGGTGCCTTCCAAGCTTCTACCCAGTGCTGGAGCTCAGAGGGAGTGAGTCTGAGTAGACGAGTCTGTATGTGGGTTGTTTAAAAGGAACTGCTTGGGTCTCCAGCAGTTTCTTCCACTGAGTCAATCCCTGATGGTTTTTACAGCCAGAAATTGTGGGGACTTATCTTCCTGGCACTGGAACCCTGGGCTGGGGCACCTGGTATGGGGCTGGGACTTTTCATTCCTGAGATATTCCTCTCAAATTTTTATCCACCACACGTGGGTGTGGGACCAGCTCATTCTACGTCTGTGCCCCTCCAACCAGTCTCTATGAATGTGGTTTCTTTAATTCCGTAGTTATCAGATTTCCACTCAACTTGATTTCTGACAGTTCTGAGTGATGGCTGTTCTATATTTTAGTTGTAATTTTGAAGTGGTTGTGCAAAGAGATGAGCCATGTCTGCCTATGCTACCATCTGGACTGGAAGTCCTCTTTTTTTTTTATTTTTTTTACCATTTTTAACAATTTGTTGAGGAATAATTACATAAACTGTACTTAAAGATTTACTCTTGGTTTTTAAAAAGTCTTATTGAAAATAATGTTTTTAAGTTTTTATTTTCTAATTGTTTATTACGATTGATTTTTGTATACCAACCTTACATCCAGCAGCTGTTCTAAATGTTCTTATCAATTCTAATTAATCTGTGGATTATTTTGGATGTTCTGTAAATGAATGTGTCATCTATGAGTAATCTTTCTTTCCCTTTTCTAATCCTTATAGCTTTTGTTTCTCTCACGTCAAGGCACTGACTAAAAGATATAGAACAGTGTTGCATAAAAGTGAGTATAAGGCCCTGACTGGTGTGGCTCAGTGGATTGATGAACCTCAGGATCACGGGTGTGATTCCTGGTCAGGGCACACGCCTGTAGTGCAGGCCAGGTCCCTGGTTCGGGGTGTGCAAGAGGCAATCAACTGGTCAATGTTTATAGCAGTATTGTTTATAGAAAAGAAAATGTAAAGCAGCCTAAATGTTCAACATTGTGAGATTAAATATGGCATGGTCTTTTAATGGAATACTATGCATCTTTTTAAAAATAACAATAATACTTATATTTATTGAAATAGAAAATTGTTCAAGCTATACTGTTAAATTAAAAATCTTACTAAATAATATCTATGATATAATCCTCTTTAAAAACCTGTACACCTACAAGCTTTTAAAATGTCCAAAAGAATATATGCCAAAAAATTAACAGCATTTATCTATAGGGGAAGCAGTTGTTTTCTTTTTGCTTATATTTAATTTCTAACTTATACAAGAAGGATCCGTTACCTGTGTAATATTTTTCTTTTAAGATGTCATTTATTTATTTTTAGAGAGAGGAGAAGGGAGGGAGAAATGGAGGGAGAAACACATCCATGTGTAAGAGAAACATTGATCAGTTGCATTTCTCACACCCCCATCCAGGGCCCTGGCCCACACCCCAGGCATGCGCCCCCCGACTGGGAATTGAACTGGTGACCTTTCAGTTTGCAGGCCTCCATTCAACCCACTGAGCCACACCAGCCGTGGCTAGTGTAATTTTTTAAGTGAACAAAGATGTTCACGTTATATCTGTAAATGAAAACACAGATTACACAACAGTATTCATAGTATGATACCATGTTTGAAAAAAAATACTAAATATACAGAGATATGCCAAAGAAAGCTAAGAGGGCAAATAATCGTAGTTATCTAGTACCACCTGTCTACTAGGGTGGACATGAGCAGAATTTCCAAAGCTCTCCAGTGATTTATGAGTGATGTTTCAATTTTTGCTTTCCTTTGTTTTCAAATTTCTCTAGAAGGAACATATTCCTATATTTAAAAAAACCCTAATAATAAAGGTTAGAAAACCAATTTGGGTCTCTTAGGGGAAAAAGGCAGGCCTTCACTTCTGCGACACCCCTCCCATCCATGTGCCCCACCCTCTCCACCCTGGGGGCTTACATTTTAAGAAGAGCGTGCGCTCTGGTGAGGGATGGATTTTCAACAAGGGATCCGCCTTGGTGCTGGAGAAGCTGGAGAGGTGGCTGCTCATGTCTGCAATGAATTGTGAGAAATGAGTGCCTGGTGCTCATGCAAGCAGCACAAATTATAAAACATACTAAAAAATATCATATTGGGTTGGCCAAAGAGTTCATTTCGTTGTTTTGTATGATGGCTCTAGTAGTGCTTACTTGTCTTTAACTTCATTTGAAACAATTTTGTTAGACTGTACTGTGACAGCTGTCATAACAGTGTGCATTTTACAAAGAACATCAAAATTGGTGAATTTTTGTGCAGCCATTTTAATACTGAAGATGGAAGCAGATACACAACTGAAATGCAAAACAAGATCAGTGGAGTGTATGGAGAAGGGGCTGTGACTAATCAAATGTGTCATAAGTGGTTTGTGAAGTTTCTTGGTACTGACATTTTGGCCCAGTAATTCTTTGTTGTGGGGCTGCCTTATGCACTGAAAGATGTTAGCAGCACCCCTGGCCTCTACCCACTAGAAGCCAATAGTGGGAGAGAGCCGACATACTTAAAATATTCTAATCATTACAGTTATTGGTGAAAATAAAAAAATGTGTCCTTTATTTTATGGAAAAAACTAAATGGACTTTCTGGCCTCACCAATAAAACTCTCTCCAAGAATCACATGCAAATTTAGGTAGAAAATGCAAATTTACAGCCTCAGGAAAGTTCCAGGACAATGCTCAGATCTGAGGAGTACTGTACTTTCCAGTATCAGAAGCAAATTCGGCCATGGCAGGTCAGCGAGAGTGAGCCCTGAACATGGGGAGGGAATGGCGGGCTCCGGGACCATCCTGAGAGTCAACTACATATTCAACAGTCAATGACGGGGCGCTCTCATGATGGAAATCCAAGTCCCAGGGTGAAAAGGTAGAAAACAAGACTTAAAGGTGATTCCTAAGAAAGGCCACATTCAAGTCTGATTCAAGTGAAAGGGAGTTCAGGGGGAACCCACACCATGATCCCTGTCTTCGACAGCTTAATCGGCTCACTGGGATGAGAAACTTGTGCTACCAATCAAGGCAGAGAATGCTCCCGGTCGCAGAGAAAAGAGGTGAAAGGGCTCCAGGACTTGGAGCAGTCTGGGAAGGCTTCATGGAGGAGGAAGCACCTCAGTTGACAACTAGATAGAGCGGGAAGATGTGGACGCCCAGGAAAAGGATGGGAGGCTAGGAGTGGCCTGCCAACAGTGAGGAGCCATGAAAGGTGACTGAGTGAGGACGGACAGGAACAGAATATTTCCAAAGCTCTCTCTGGTGAAGAATAGACCAGCAGGGGCAGAGTGGAGGCAGAGGCCTGCACAGGGGCAGCAGGGAAGGGAAAGGGGCGGGCTCAGGAAGCACCGCAGTGCCAGAAATGCCGGCCTGACTGTCGACTGGAGTGGGGGATGAGGAGCAGATTGGAGTTGAGCAGCAGCTGAGCAGGGGGCCAGGGGTGCGGATTCCATTTTGGCCTGTGGGGCCTGCCATGTCTGTCTGTGTCTTTGGAACACGCAGGCACAGAGAGGCAGAGTGGGGCACCAGAGCGCAGTGGCGCTGTGAGGCCCCGTCTTCTTGGGGCCTTCCTGGAGTCAGCACCATTCAGCATTACCCGTGAGTCTCATCTGGAGAGGCGGGTGAGGGGGAATGGCCTGGGAGGGAGCAGACTCCAGGTGGTCACAAAACAGACCCTGGGACCAGAGTCTGTTTGAATTCTGTCTCTATCCCTATCAGCTCTGAGCCTCAGCTCCCTCATCTGTAAATGGGGATAATGAAGGCACCTGCCACACAGGGTAGTGAGTGGTGACGAGTTGCTGGGTGCATCTGTGTAAAATGTTTAGCACAAAGCCTGGCACAGAGCAAGTGTCAGCTGTCAGCAGGCACTGGACAGGCACCTCCAGCTCTTTGGGAATGGACCACTGAGAATGTAAACATGAGCCAACTGCATTGTGGGACCATCTGAGTATCTTCTTGCTGCGGTGGGGGGAGGAGACTTCCGTGCCTGCTCACTGGATACAGACAAACCCAAAGCTTCCTGGAGCTGGTTGCTAAGTTTCTTTTTTTCTTTTGTATTTAACTATTTATTAGTGCTTGTTTTTTAAACTGAAATATGTTGACTGCTACCATTCTGGTACGCAATTTTCTCTTTAAACAATTACAGCTCAAGAAGAATTTTTCATTTGGACTATGTGCTCAAATTTCCAGTGGAAGTTATGAGCAAAGAGAACACCACCCACCATTAAAAATCTGCTTTGACCAAGCAGCCCAGGAAAACCCACTGCGCGGCCCCGCTGCAGGCGTGCATCACGGTGTCCCAAACTGCGTTCTCTTGTCTTCGTTTGAAACGCCTTAAGGCCCAACTCAAGTGCCAGCTCCTCCAGGAAGGCTTTCCTGTTTCCCCTGAGAATCCCTCTCTCCTCTGTCGGAGCTCCATCAGCCCAGCTGGGTCTTCTTTGGTTACTCACCTCAGGAAGTCGGCCTGGCCTCATCTCTCTGCGTTCCCCAGAGGTGCTCGGTGGATGTTTGCAGCGTTTCTGCCTTGCTTCCTCCCACCTCTTTCCTTTGCCTTTTCTCCTGGTCTTTGGAGCTGGCACTGCCCTGCCAGCCCCAAGTGACAAGGCAGCATCTAAGCTCCTCCACCCCCTTGCCCACCACTGTGCTCCCGTCACCATGGCCCCCTCTCTGTGCCCCAAACTCTGCAAGTTCTTCCCTCACTTTGGGCTCTTGGTACATCCTGTTCCTTCTGCCTAGATGTACCCTCAGATGTAAAAACAGTAAGTTAACTAACACTTACATAGCATGGTGTTTATCATGCCTGAGCACCACTCTCAGCACTTTGCTTATAAGACCTCATTTAATCCTTACAACGACCCTATGGGGAGAGGGGCTACATTATCACCATTGGGGTGTGGATGTGGACACAGAAGCATAGGAAGGTCAGGTGCTTTACCCCAGATGGCAGAGTCGGGAAGGGGTGGACCTGGGACTGGAACCCGGGCAGTCTGGCTCCAGAGTCACGCTGTGACCCTTATGCTGTCCAGCCCTTCAGCTCTGCAGAGCTTACTGAAGGCTTCCTTTAGGTCAGCACACACGCCCGCTTCTTAGAGAGGCTTCCCCGCTTCCACATATAAATTACCTCCTGCTCCTCCTGGTCACCCTGTGTTCTACCTAACCTGCTTTATTGCTCTTCAGAGCACTTATCACTGACATATATTCAGTAGCTGTCCATCTTCCCCACAAAAGACTGGTACCATAAAGACAGAGCTGTGCCTGCCACATAACAGGGGCCCCATAAATGTTCTGAATGAACCATCATAGCAGAATTAATGAACAGATATTTCTGACACCTGCTGTGAGGCCCTGCAGGAACCTCACTGCTGGACCCCAAATGGCTCTTGTCCCCCAGATATTTATAAAGGGCAGGCTGGGATCCATGCACCCAGCTCAAAAACACCCAGGCAGGAGATGGGACAAGCCCTGGAGAGGAAGGGCAGAGGGGTGGACGTCCAGGGAAGAGCGTGAGCCCAAGGCGACACGAAAAGGCTTCCCAGGTGAGCATAGCTGTGCGGGCCCCACAGCGGCGGTGGACCTTGACCAGGCAGAGGAAGAGGAGAGCGAGTTGGCCATTCCAGCTGGGACCCCAGAATGGGCATAGCGGAGGCGTAGCAGAATCCGAGGAGCGACTGGCGACAGGAGGAGCGGTGTGGCTTCGAGAGGCAGGACAAGGTCTGAGGAGGGGGAGGAAGTGAATGAAGAAGGGTGGGAGGGCCCAGACCCAGGAGCCTTAGACCATCCAACCACGGGCCTCTGTGTGGGAGAGAGTGATTCATGGTGACGGTCCCCTAAGCTGTCTCTGGACTGAAGGACACTGAAGGAGTAAGGGGCACGAAGCTGGTCGCATGACTTACTTTCCTTCAACCGAGCCTCTAGTGGCGTCTGCCTCATGCTCTGCATGGCTTCCATGAGACCCTTGAAGAAGGTCTTGACGGGCTCAAAGGATTGGGGCACAGGGTGTCGCTGCTCCTCCAAGGTCATGTGCTGCTTCATCTCCGGTTCAGTGGCCGTGAACTCCTGCAAGGGCAGGTGTGGGTCAGGGTGGCTCCACAGTAGCACCAGGAATGCACTGAGACCATCCATTGCAGGCCCTGCCCCACCCTGCTCTAGCACCTTGGGTGAGCCCAGGGACATGCCCCCAGGAGCAGGCCCCGCCCAGCAGGGTCCTGGAAGGAAGACTCCCGCAAGTCCAGTTTTAGTGCTGGCTCTATTCCTCCCTTCTTCCCGTGCTCATTGAGGTCTTCTCTGTGCCAGGCGTTAGCATTGGAGGCAGAGGGTGGAGGCAGGCTGACTGCCCCTCCTTTAAGTCACCACCTGGAAAGGGGCCCTGAAGTTTTACGGACAATGTGACAGGGCTGCCTCCGGTACAGGAGGACAAAAAGAGGGATCAGTTTTCCTGGGGAAGGAGCTCCTGGAAGTTCAAAGGGAATGCTGCCTGAGGGGGTGTGGCCCCTACAGTGAGAACCATCCTGTTTTCTGCCTAAACAGCACCTTTTAAATACCCTTCCTGTGTTAAGTGCGGCTTTGCTAATTAGAAGCTAGAAAACGCTCTCTCTAGGCTTCCTTTGCCCCTGTGGGGCAGCTGTGTGACGAGGCACCTCCAAGCCAAGACACCTCCAAGCCAAGACTTGCACATGGCAATGAGAGGTGAGGCAGTGACAACAAGTAGGGGACAGAGGTGGTAGAGGCGCCGGGGCCAGGCCCCGAGGTGTCCCCTGTGATGTGGCTCAGCAGGGAAGTGGGGTCTACCCTGGAGCACACCTGTGCCGTGGGCGGGACTTCCCTGGTGTGCCTGACCTTCATCCAGGTTTTCTGGCCCTGCTGGAGATCCCATCAGCTGCCTAATACTGGTTCATGAACTCCTTTCTGGTTTCAGTTACAGTGGATGCCCATATTTGCAGCTAAGAATGCCGTCTGCACTTTCCGAAGGGTTGTCCTGGGCACAGAGTCAGAAGACAGCAGGCTGCCTTAGGCAAGCAGGCCTTGGCTAGTGGGCGGGTGGGGTGGCCCAGCACCCAGGTTTTGGGCAGAGGTAGGCCCCCCCAGGCAGCATGCTGGACCCTGGGAGAGGGCTGTGAGATGGACCCCTAGCCCCGTCCTGGCTAAGAGCTGCAGTCGAGTTCATCCTCACTTTGGTGGGGAAGAAGATAATGTGTGCGGAACCAGGGCTGAGGTGGCACTCAGAGGGCTGGAGTGGAGCTGGCCAGGGAGTCCGAGCCCAGCAGGGAGGGCAGGGAGCAGCTCTGGGTGGCAGGAGGGTGGCCCAGAGGGCAGAGCGGAACTGGGGAGGGAGATGAAGGACAAATGCCACCATGTGCTAACCCCCAGCTCCAGCATCTGGCACAGAGCCTGACACATAGTAGATTCTCCATAAACATCAAGGGTGAAATAAATAAATGAATGAAACTAAGCACTTCGGCTTTTCACCTTTGCAGAATCAGAGAATAGCCCCCTAACCACTCATTTCTCAATCCAGAAACAAGATTATCCTGGATTCCCCCACTTTCAATCACCGGTCCTGCTGCAGCCCTCAAACCTGTCTTATTCTCTTCATCCCCGCAGCTGCTTCACTGGTGCGTCCCATGACCGTCCCTCTCCTGGACACTGTGGTCTGCTGACCTCCCTTAGCCTGCAGTCCTGGCCTGCCCAGTCCATCCTCCAGCCTTCCACCAAAGTGATCTTTCCAAAACATTAACCTGATCATGTCTTTCTTCAGTTCAAAACACTCCCTTGGCCCCATCTATGTAAAGGACAAAGTCTAAACTCCATGGCCAGGTATACAAGGCACTTCATCAACTATCCCAGGCCCTTCGATCCAGCTCCATCTCCCAACTCCCCTGGCCCTGTACCCCTGCGCCCCCACTCCAGCCAAGCTGAACCAGTGGTTCTCTAGCCTGCCAAGCCCTCACACGCACATGGTTCTCTTCTGCCTGGAATGTCCTGTCTGCTCTGTCCCTCTGTATATGCCCTACTCCAATATCACCTCCTCCTAGAAGTCTTCCCTGATCCCCTAAATAGAGCTGGACATTTCTTTGACACACTTTTGCTAGCTCACTTGGACTGTGTTGTAAACACCAGTTTCTGAGCATGTCTTCCCACCCATGAGCTACTAATGTTGAACCGGGGCCTGGTGCAGAACAGGTTGCTCAGTGAATGTTTGATGGATAAATGAATGAACAAATGGGATGATGAATGATGATCATAGCTTTGGCACCAGAGAATGAAGAAAAATAAATGACCAAGCCTTGAAAGTGTATCTGTGATGGAAGAATAACAGTCTTCTCCATGGAGCATCCCTTTGAATTAGCTATCCTTAAGGGGTATGCTTATTTTAAAAGAAACAAACATTCAGAAAAGGGACCCCTCATGCACTGTTGGTGGGAATGCAGACTGGTGCAGCCACTGTTCTGGAAAACAGTATGGAGTTTCCTCAAAAAACTAAAAATGGAACTGCCACTGGCCCAGTGACCCCACTTCCGGGAATACGTCCTAAGAATGAGAAAGAATATATACACTCCTATGTTCACAGCAGTGTTACTTACAAATAGCTAAGATCTGGAAACAGCCCGAGAGCCTATCAATAGATAAATGGATAAAAAAGATGTACATTTACACAATGGAATACTGAAAAAAAAGAAAGCACTCTTACCCTTTGTGACGGCATGGATGGACCTAGAGAATATTATGCTAAGCAAAGTAAGCCAGTCAGAGAAAGACCATTACCATATGATCTCACTCATATGTGGAATCTAATGAACAAAACAAACTGATGAACAAAATAAAACCAGAGGCACGGACACATGGAACAGATGACAGATCTTGGAGGGGGGTTAGGAAGATGGCAGAAATGAGTCAAAGAACATAGATGCATGCGTGTGGGGGCGTGGTGGTGAGGGCTGGGGAAACAGGGAAAAGTGGGGGGTTGGGAGCATTTGTAATAGTGTCAACAACAATGAATGAATGAATGAATGAATGAATGAATACAAAGAAAGAATGAAACAAACAAAGGTAGCCCCCTGAGCATCAAAGTACAATAACCTCTGTGCCTAAGACAGCACCTCACCCAGAATTTTGTGTTAGGTTTATTTTTTAAATTGAGTTTATTGGGGTGACACTGGCTAATAAAATTATACAGGTTTCAGGTGTACCATTCTATAACACATCATCTGTATATTGTACTGTGTGTTCACCACCCCGAGCCAGCCTCCTTCCATCATCGCTTACTACCCCTGCTTTACCCTCTGCTACTTCCCCTCGCTCCCCTTCCCGTCTGGTAATCACCATGCCGTGGTCCGTGTCTACAAGGGCTTAGTTTTTGTTAGCTAACAACCAGACACAGTGAGTTGATCAAGGCCACAAAGAGGCACAAGTGTGGAAATATCCACCAGGGACTGGCCTGACTGGTTTTGTATCGACCAATTTATTTGTGTTATTTTTCAGCCAGAGCCCACGCCAATCTGTGGTCAGACTCAGTGCCACCTTTAGTTGTGCGCTGCCTTGTCCCAGAAGCTTGTAAGGTATCTTACCCAGGTTATCTAATATGGCAGGATTTTCCCTTACAGTGAGAAACATGAATCAAAGAGGAAATGGGGTGAGAAGGCACACTGGAAGCTGGAGTGAGATGAGGCACAAAACACATGCCACCAAGTCACAGCCCAGCTATTTGAAAAATATTTGGCTCTGAGCTTCCCAGAAGCCACAGCAAAGAAGGAAACAGAAAGAGTTGCATGAGTGGAAAGCAATCCAGGTGCACAGGTGACGGCGCAGCTGCGCTGACAGGACAGAGGCGTTTCTCCCCGGGTCCCTTTAAGACAGGAACGCCACCCTCGACACATGCCATCACTAAGTGTAGCAGGTGTAGCACGAACATCATTCAGGCTGTTTCTTCTCCCCCTATGGAGACTCCCCCTCAGGAGAAGGTAATGACCTCCAGCAGAGCCCAGTGGCCGAGCAGTACCATTCTTCTCTCCCCTGTGAGGGAACTGTGACCCAGCTTGAGGTCTGCTCAGCAGCTGGCGGGACACTGCCTTCCCAGGAGGGCTGTCTCAGTGAAGACTATGCAGCCAGCAATGATGCCTTGTGGCTTTTAAGTCAGAGAAACCTGGGTTCTGATCCCAGTTCTGCCAGCTACGTGTGGGACTTCCCATGAGTCACTTCGCCTCCCTGAGCCTCAGTTTCCCATTCATAAAGTGGGGTGACAATATCCATTTGCACAGTTCTACTAAACATTAAAGCTAAGATACATACAGTGCTTGACAGAGGCCCTCAAAATTGGTGGCTGTGTTATTAGTCCAAGATGTATGTTATCTTTCTGGCTATGTATATTTTCTTTATGTTAAAAAAATATTGACTTTTTAGAGAGAGAAAGGGAGAGAGAGCTAAGAAAGAAACATCAATTTGTTGTTCCACTTCTTCATGCATTCATTGGTTGCTTCTGGAATGTGCCTGACCTGAGATCGAAATCACAACCTTGGTGTATCAGGATGATGCTCTAACCAACTGAGCTACTGCGCCAGGGAGTTTTCTAAGTATGTTTTCTGATGACTTGTGTAGGGGCAAGAAAGTCTACTTGCTAACAAGGCAGTTTTCTGTGTATTTACTCATTGTGTAAATACTGTGTTCGATGCCACAGTAACCAAGAAGAGATGTGGGTGGTGGGTGGCAGGTAGGTAGCAGGTGGCGGCCTTACCTGTAGCAGCTGTACAGGACTGGTCTCCTGGCTGATGCTCCAGACCCTGTGAGAGAGACTGTTCAAGACATCGATTCGGTCCTCGCAAGACTTGATTTGCTCCCTGTACGCCCGGAGGGCAAGCTGGGCATTTTTATCAATGAATTTCTTAGCCAGCGCTTCCTCTTCTTCAAGTAGTAATCTGAGTTCGGTGAATTTCCCCGTCAGCCAGGTTTTGCTGGACTCGGCATGAGCCTAAAAAGCAAACCAGTTGCAGATGAGAAGAGTGCCAACTAGGAAATCCAGAACATGAAGTTCAACATGAAAAAAACTACTAGGACATCTAAAAGCAAGGTGGCCGATCAAGGACAAGATCAACTTATAACAACTCAAGCTTTTCTCAGTACCAGCCATAACCATTGGCACAGGTGTGGAGAAATAAAGGTCCTTTTTAGAATAATGGACAAAATAGTAAAATATGTAAAAATAAAACCATGCAAAATCTGTAAAGATGTAGATAAAGAAAAGCATGAAATTGTCCTAAAAGACAAAAAATCTGAATGTATGGAAGAAAAAAACCATATTCCTGGTTATGGAAGATTCATTACTATAAAGATGCTATTTGTCCCCTACTAAAAACTGGACACAATTCATATAAAAGTCTTAACATGTAGGTTAAACAAATATTACATTATTGTGGGGGAGAATAAGCACAAAAAAGCCAAAAACTGCTTTAAAAAGATCAATAAAGGGTGAGCTGCCTCATTAGAGATCAAACTGTAACATGACAGCATTTAAAACCAAGTGGCTTCAGCACAGGCAAAAAGCCAAGAACACAGAATAAAGAGTTTAGAGAAGAATATACATATATGTATGGTAATGGTGCGATTTCAAATTGTTAGGAGGAATGGAGGAACTATTCAATACGTGGTATTGGAACAATACACAATTAACCATGTATTTGATGAAAATTTTATGTTAGATCCTTCCACCACGTAAAAAAATAAAGTCAGACAGAACCCTACCTATGAAGCAGTCTTGCCAGTGAATGTGAACTTGAATGTGATCAAGCCTCTAGATCTAAATAAAAAATTCAGTATATAGGACAGAGGAACGTGTGAATGATCAAATTAAGAAATACATCAAGCAAGGGTATTTTGACACTTTCACTCCTAATTCAGACAAATAAAATGTGACCTTTACAACAATCAGAAACGTGACCACTGATATTTGATCATATTAGGGAACTATTGCTAATGTTCTTAGGTGCGATGATGATAATGAGTCCTTATCTTAAGGAGATAATATGCTGAAACTTTTACAGAGATGAAATGTGTCTGGAATTTGCCTCTAAATATGTGTGTATGACTGAGGTTTTACACAATAAAGTAAACAAAAATAAAATCCAAACAGATTACAACGCTATATAGTACAAAACAATAAATCTATTAGAGAATGAAATACAATTTTATTTTTTAATTATATTTTATTGATTATGCTATTATAATTGTCCTGATTTTCCCCCTTTGCCCCCTTTACCCAGCAACCCCCACTCCCTCGGACAATCCCCCCACCACTGTTCGTGTCCATGGGTCATGCGTACAAGTTCTTTGGCTACTCTCTTTCCTATTATGTACTTTACATCCCCAAGGCTATTCTGTAAATAGCTATTTGTATTTTTTTTTAATAAAAAGAGAATTTAGTAAATACACCCCTCTCGATTGACTGACTGTAGCCCTCTCACTCCAAAAGCAGATAGAGGAATTGCATCTCATTTGAATTGTGCTGTTAGGTGTTCAAAATATTTGTGCTTCTCAGTCCCCTCACCTCTTCACCCACCCCACACTCCCATCCCATCTGGAAACCATCAAAACGTTCTCCACATCCATGATTCTGTCTCTGTTCTTATTGTTTGCTTAGTTTGTTTTTTTTTTAGATTCAATTGTTGATAGACATGTATTTTTATCATTTTATTATTCATACTTTTGATCTTTTTTTTAAATAAATACCTTTAACATTTCATATAATGGTGGTATGGTAGTGATAAACTCCTTTAGTTTTTGCTTGTCTGGGAAGCTCTTTATCTGCCCTTCCATTCTAAATGATAGCTTTGCTGGGTAGAGTAAGTAATCTTGGCTATAGGTCCTTGTTTTTCATAACTTTTAACATTGCTTGCCAATCCCTCCCAGCCTGCAAAGTTCTTTTTGAGAAATCAGCTGACAGTCTTTTGGGAACTCCCCTGTAGGTAGCTAATTTTTTTCCCTTGCTGCTTTTAAGATTCTCTGTTTATCTTTAACCTTTAACATTTTAATTATGTGTCTTGGACTGGGCCTCTTTGCATTCACGTTGTTTGGGACTCTCTGTGCTTCCTGGACTTGCATATCTATTTCCTTTACCAGCTTAGGGAAGTTTTCTCCCATTGTTTTTTCAGATAGATTTCTAATTTCTTGCTCTTTCTCTTCTCCTGGCATCCCTCTGATGTAAATGTTAAGCCTCTTGAAATTGTCCCAGAGGCTGTTTACACTATCCTTATGTTTGGGCGATTCTTTTTCCTTCTTTTTGTTCTGATTGGTCGTTTTTTGCTTTCATATGTTCTAAATCATTGATTTGATTCTCGGCTTCATCCACTTTACCGTTGTTTCCCTGTAAATTGTTCTTTATTTCAATTAGTGTCTCCTTCATTTCTGACTGGGCCTTTTTTATACTGCTGATGTCCTCACTAAGTTCCTTGAGCATCCTTATAATCAGTGTTTTAATATCTGTATCTGATAGATTGTTTATCTCCATTACATTTAGCTCTTTTTCTGGAGTTTTGATCTGTTCTTTCATTTGGGCCATGTTTCTTTGTCTCCTCATTTTTGCAGCCTCCCTGTGTTTGTTTCCATGTATTAGGTAGAGCTGCTTTGACTCTCTGTCTTGGTAGTGTGGCCTAATGTAGTAGGTGTCCTGTAGGGTCAAGTGGCACAGCCTCCTCTATCACCCAAGCTGGGTGCTTGAGGTGTGCTCTTCAGGTGGTCTGAATATACCCTCCTCTTGTAGTTGGGCCTTGGTTACTGTTGGCAGATCCAATGGGAAGGATTTACCTGGGTCAGTCAGCTGCAAAGATTGGCTGTGACCATTTACCACCAACTTCCACCCTCCAAGGAGGATCAGCTGTGCAGGGGCAGGATGGTGGTGCTGGACGTGGTCTGTAGCAGTTCACTGGGTGCACTGGCCCTGGGGTTTCCTGGGTGGTGCAGGTCAATGTCAGTCCCCACCTGATTTTGCCCCAGGCCACCTACTTGAACTATAAAGCAGTCTGAGATGGCTGCTACTTTTTCTGGGCGTGGAGATTCCCAGGTAAAGCCAAGCTGTGAATCTAGACTGGCTGCTGCTAGTGCTGGGTGTGGGGCTCATGGAGGCCAGCTGTTGTTTGTTTAATAGGATTTAGGAAGCTGTGAAGCAAAAGCCAAGACCAGCCATTCATATGGAAAAGCAGCGTGGGTGGGCCCATAAGTTGGGTGGGGCAGAGTCTCTGGGGATCTTCAGGGAGGGGCAAACAGTTTTAGCCAGGTTGATGGAGTCTCTGATATGGCACCAGCTTGCCAGCTCTGTGGCTCTGTGGGTGGAGGATTTAGAAAAGGGACAATGGCCTCTGCTTGCCTTGATGCCAGACATTCAGTTCCTCTCTTTATGCCACTGGTGCCTTTCAAGCTGCTACCGGGTTGCTGGAGCTCAGAGGAAGTGAGTCTGAGTAGGTGAGTCTGTGTGTGGGTTCTTTAGAAGGATCTGCTTGGGGTTCCAGCAGTTTCTTCCACTGACTCAATCCCCACTGGATTTTGCAGCCAGAAGTTGTGGTGACTTATATTCCTGGCACTGGAACCCTGGGCTGGGTGGCTTGATGTGGTCTGGGATTCCTCATTTCCAAGATATGACCCCCGAATTTGTATCCACCACAAATGGTTGAGTGACCAGTCATTCTGCATCTGTGCCCCTCCTACCAGTCTGGATGAATGTGGTTTCTTTAATTCCATAGTGGTCAGACTTCCATTCAACTTGATTTCTGACAGTTCTGAGTGATGGCTGTTCTATATTTTAGTTGTAATTTTGATGTGGTTGTGTGAAGAGGTGAGCCATGTCTGCCTATGCCACCATCTTGACCAGAAGTTCTCTAATTTTTTTTTTTAATTTGATATTAGAAGACCTCTGTAAGAGGAGCCCAAAATTCAGATAGCAAGAAGGGAGCCATGGCAGATTTAACCACGTAAAAATGAAACTTTCCCTTAGAGGAAGGCACTGTAAACAAGGCTACGTGACAGGTAACAGACTGCAAGGGCTTATTATTCATAACACCTAGTTAAAAAAAAGAAATCACTCGACTTAACAATGGGCCAAAGATTTGCCAGTGCCAACGATGTGCAACACTGAGCTTCCCCACCCAGAAAGCGAGTGGTGTGATCAGAAAATACTTTCTGGGCATCAGACTGGAGGAATTTTAACTGATGGGTAATAGCAGAGTCTGCAAGACACTGTGGGTGGCGGTGTCTATTGGTACCGCATTTTCAGAGGGCGACAGGACAACATCGGAAGTTTAAGTGCATAAATCCTTTGAGGCAGCAGTTCCTCTGGTAGGAACTGATTCTAGAAAATGTTTTCACATGTGCACCAAGATGCTCACTACAGCATGTTGGTGATGGGGAAAATCTGAGCAAACTTTATAATATGGGAAATACATATACACACACATATATATAATAAGGGATACTATATTCAAACAATAAAGAAATACTTAGTAATTAAAAAGATTGCAGCATTCTGACATGTGCTATAACATGAATGAACCTCGAAGACATTATGCTAAATGAAATACGCCAAACACAACAGGACAAATACTGTATGATTCTGCTTATGTAATATTTAAAATAGGCAAGTTCATGAAGACAGGAAGTGGATCAGAGTTTCCATGGGCTGGTGGAAGGGGAGAGAAGAAGTAATTGTGTAATGGGTACCGAGTTTATGTTTGGGGAAATGAAAACATTTTGGAAACAGACAGTGGTGATGGTCGCACCACACTGTAAATGTAATTCATGCCACTGAATAGAGCCATTGAAAATGGTTCCAATGGTAAGTTTAATGTTACGTATCCTCGTATCTGACCATGCCCACCAAAAGAATGCAGTAGCCTGCATGTCCTGTCACGGAAAGCTCCCCAAGACACCATGTGATCAATACACAGGGCTGTGGAATGATCCACATGGGATGACCCCATTTATGTA